GAATCACCAAGATGAACTAAACTAAAAGAATTTCTAAGTGCCCTGGTTGTAGTTTTGTTATTAAGTAATTAGAGATTTTTCACACCAGTTAAAAGTAATCTTTTGTCATGTAAATAGCTGGCAGGATGGGCATGGGGTATAGCAGCCCCTGCTAGATATAAGTCCCTTTAACCCAAAAAAGGGAAAGCTTTATTAAATACCAGATGAACTTTGAGGAGTATTGCCTATGTGTCAAGTTTTCTGCTAGAGAAAACCTACTCTTCTGAGGATTAAACTGATAGCTAAAGTCCTATTCCAAAAACAAGGCTAAGATAAGGTTTAAAAAAAAAATTAGCAGACTCACAAACCAATGCTCATTCCTCTTTACCAGTTAATTTTCCAAACCAACCCTTTCTTTGACTCCCTTTGCTACATACAAAATCATAATTCAATCTAAAATACTATAGAATCAGAACTAAGAAGCTATTGTATAGTAGAATTAAAATAGCAATATCGATTTCTTTTTATTACCCTGGACTTATGAGTTTGCAAGCTATAAATTTGTTGCTCTTGTTCAAAAAAAAAAAAAATAGGTTTTCAACTAAATTTATTTGAGCTGCTAGTTGCTCAAATGTTGGCATAATAAAGTAGTCGGAATGTGGCTTAGTGACAAAGGGCTGAGGAAATTCTAGCCTTTTAAAGATTGAGCTGTAAACATTCATGTCCAGGAGAAAGAAATATGACAATATAAATAGATTTTTCAAAAACAAAAAAATAAAATAATGGTTTCGAGTCTAACATTTAAGTTTTTAATCCATTTTGAGTTTATTCTTATGTATGGTGTAAGAAGACTTAAATGTTAGACTCAAACCCACAAAAAACCCTACAAGAAAATATAGGCAGTAAAATCTTGGACATTTCTCATAACAATATTTTTTTCTGATTTGTCTCCTAAGGCAAGGGAAATAAAAGAAAAATAAACAAATGGGACTACATCAATCTAAAAAGCTTTTGCACAGCAAAGGAAACGATCCTCCTGAATGTGAGAACATATTTGCCAATGATAGATACATCTGATAAGGGATTAATACCCAAAATTTATTAAAAAAAAAACTTATAAACATCAACACCAAAAACAAACAAACAACCCAATTAAAAAATGGGCAAAGGACCTGAATAGCTACTTCTCCAAAGAGGACATACAACTGGCCAATAGACATATGAAAAGATGCTCAACATCACTGATCCTCAGAAAGATGCAAATTAAAATCACAATGAGATATCACTTCACACCTGTCAGAATGGCTATCATCAATAATTCAACAAATAAATGTTGGCTAATATGTAGAGAAAGAAAACCCTTGTGCTCTGTTGGTAGGAATGCAGACCGGTGCAGCCACTGTGGAAAGCAGTATGGACTTACCTCAAAAAATTAAAAATGAAACTACCTTATGACCTATGATTCCACTTCTGGGAATATATCCAAGGAAACCTGAAACACAAATTAAGAATATATGCACCCCTATGTTCATTGCAGTCTTATTTATAATAGCCAAGATTTGGAAACAGCCCAAGATCCTATCAACAGATGAATAGATAAAAAAGCTGTGGTACACTTACATAATAAAATACTGCTCGGCCATAAAAAAGAAGGAAATCTTACCTTTTACAACAGCATGGATGGACTTGGAGAATATTATGCTCAGTGAAATAAGTTAGTCAGAGAAATACTGATTTCACTTATATGTGGAATCTAATGAATAAAATAAACAAACGCACAAATACAGAAACAGACTCAGATATAGTGCACAGATTGACAGCTATCAGAGGGTAGGGGGGTTGGGAGCTGGGTGAAAAAGGTGAAAGAATTAAGCAAGACAAAACAAACACATAGACCTATACAACAGTATGGTGATTATCAAAAGGAAAGGGGTGTGTGGACAGGTAGAAGAGAGTAAAGGGGTGATAAATGGTGATGGAAGGAGAATTGACCTGGGGTGGTGAACACACAATATAATGTACAAGTTATGTATTATAGAATTGAACACCTAAAACCTATATAATTTTATTAACCAATATTGCCCCAATAAATTAAAAAAAAAGATAAAATAAAATTATGATTCAGGTCTGTATTTGCTAGGACTGTGGTAACAAAGAACCACAAACTTTGTGGGAGGCTTAGCACAACAGACATGTATTGCTTCACAGTTCTGGAGGCTAGAAGTTAAAATCAAGGTGTTGATGGTTACTTCCTTCTAGGGCTGTGAGAAAGGATCTGCTTCAGCCTCTTCTTTAGCTTCTGAGAGTTTTCTGGCAATCTTTGACTTTCCTAGGTTTGTGGCAACATAACTCCAGTGTCTACCTGGGAAGAAGGGCATTCTCCTTGTGGCTCCACTTAGTCTTTGCTCTGTGTGGGTGCATGCCTCTTCAGATAGCATCCTTGTCCTAACTAATTACATCACAGTGACTCTGCTCTCAAATTGAGTCACATTATGAGGTACTGGGGATTAGGACTTCAACTACTCTTTTTTTAAGGGAACACAATTCAACCATAACAAGGTTTAAAAAGCCAAAGTGAAATGGTGTGTCAAAATTAGCTGATGATTTTAAGTCAGATTAAGAAGAAGACACTGACTATTTAGAACAAAACAAAGAGCATGCTTGTCTGCATAATTAGGACTGCAAGAGTCTGGAAGATCAATTTGGATAATGCAGGGCAAGAAAGAGAAAGGGGTATTAACATGGAAACCCAAAGAGCATTATGCTAAAGTGAAATAAGCCAGTCAGAGAAAGAGAAGAATCACATGATCTCACTCATTTGTGGAATATAATGAACAATATAATCTGATGAACAAAATCAGATCTAGAGACACAGAAGCATCAAACAGACCATTGAATCTCAGAGCGAAGGCAGGGGAGAATGAGGGAAGGGGCCAGGAGTGTGTGTGTTGGTAAGAGATCAACCAAATAAGTTGTATGCATATAAGCATAACCAATGGACTCAGAAAATAGGGTGGTGAAGGCCTGAACTGGAGGGCAGAGACGGGCTGGCAGGGGACAATGGGGATAAAGGGGACATATGTAATACTTTAAAAAAAACAAGAATTTTTTTTTAAATGTACAAATTGGCAGGTACAGAATAGTCATAGGGATATAAAGTACAGCATAGGAAATATGGCCACTAATATTGTGATAACTGTATGGTGTTGGATGGTACTGGACTTATTCGGATGATTACTTTGTAACTTATATAAACGTCCAATTACAGAGTTGTACACCTGAAACTATACTGTACCTCAACTCTAATTAAGACAAACAAATGAATAAGTAAAAGACAGAGAAAGGGAAGTAAAGGAAGGAAAATGAGGCAAAAAGGGGAAGGAGGAGAAAGGAGTATAATTGAGGGAAGGGAGGCAAAGAGAACTAGGAGAAAGATCACATCAAGCAATGCTCTCATTTGTAGACTGGCTCAAATACTCCCTGTTCTAACTGAGCCTGAGTACAGAGCTCTACTCTCTTGAACCACCTTCCACATCATAGCTAGTTTATGAATTTAATAATTACATCTTCTGTCCACTCACTGAAGAGAAATGTGTCTTTAGAGTCCTTTTAAAATTAGATTGCTTCTGTGGGTTTAAACCTACAGGAGCTTGTAATTTGGACCATTTGTTTCCTAATAAAGAGACTTAATTTTTGTGTTTTTTGTTTTGTTTTGCTTTGTTTTGTTTTGTTGTTTTGTTTTGTTTTTCATACCTAGAGCCCATAGAAAAAGTCACAATGTGCCCACTCCTGATATGAAGGAGCTCAGTAGGACATTCAGGGCATATGAGACCTGGGTGCTAGGATGCTATTGTTTCTACTGCCTCAAAGAGTAGAGCTGAAAATGTCCTATTCATTCATCCAATACATCTTTCTGCCACAGTCAAATTACTGTCAGCACTCTTCTTTCCAGGACCTTGTATAATTCATGTTTTAAAGCATCAAGATCATATAATTCCTGTAAAACCTGGCCTGTCAATATACTTTGTTATGGGGATGTGATTAGAGGACAGGTATATTATGATTCATCAAGGACCAATGTAATGAGAACAATAAAGATCAATCAGTTTTTGGACTCTTAAGATTACTATACAGTATTTTGTATTGCTTTTTGTTTACCAAGGTACTTTTTTTTAAAATCAAGATTTTTTCTATCTCTATATAAAAGACTAAGTGACCATCCCAACTGAACAGGTTACCAAACAGGCTGTGTGGGGCAACTAGAACAGCAGGAGGTTAGTGAGGGGTGACCAAACAACCGAGCAGCAGGCTGCATGGGTGACTAGGCTGGCAGGGGGAGGGAAGTTGGGGGCGACTAGGCTGGTGGTGGTGGGGCATTTGGGGGTGACCAGGAAAGCGGGGGGGGGGGGCAGTTAAGGTGATCAGACAAGCAAGCAGGTGAGCAGTTAGGAGCCAGTGGTCCTGGATTGTGAGATCAGGCTTAAACTAGCAGTCAGACATCCCTCAAGGGGACCAGGTTTGGAGAGGGTACAGTCTGGGCTAAGGGGACCTCCCTCCCATGCACAAATCTCGTGCATCAGGCTGAGATTCATAAAACAAAATATGAAGCCTAGAACTGGATCACTTGACCCTTTTTCTTCTTATCTCCTCCCAGTTCAAAATGTTTGCACCTCTTAATAGCCAGCATTCTTTTAGGTCTGCAGTTAAGCTCAATGCACTCAAGCCTCAGCACAATCTTTTTGTAGTTTTAGCCTTCTCCCCCTCCCCAAAAATTGCCTTACACTGCCCACCATAGCCATTCTGCTGCTTGTCATACCGCTGCTTTCCCTGTGCACACAGAGAAGCCTTGCCCTTCTTGTTCTGTGTTGCTTTGTGGGGCTGATGCTTGCCACAGTTCTTACAGAAAGTTCGGTGGGTTTTAGAAACGTTCACCATGTTTGCAAATGCTATTGATCTACCACGATACTTGTAAAATATATTTTCACAGTTTTTTTTGTTTGTTTTTGTTTTGTTTTTTCCCCCCTGGGCTTCAGTTTAATGATCAAATTGTGGGGGGTGGTGGAGGGGCATTCTTTGCAGTCAGCTACAGTAGAGGGCTTGGGAGGCAGCACACAGACTCCCTATGGCTCTCTGGTAAACTTGCCAGGCAGTTTGGTCTACATTCTCACTTCACCTTAATGACTGTACCATGACTTAGGGAGCAGGCAATGTTCCTTCCTCCCCCACCTCCCAGCATCCTCCCATTCCATTCTGACTGCATTTGACAGATGAGGGCTTGAAGGCAGAATGAGGTTGTGTTAAGGCAGATTCACAGCCACAGTTCAAGTTCAAGGGATAGGAGTGCAAGTCTTCTGCTTAGGGCTTGCACATTTCCAGGCCTGTTCAGCCCACCCAGCTTCTGCTCCTGAACAAGTGGGCGTGGTTTGAGAGCTAGGCCCTCAGCTCGGTGGGCGTGTCTGGCTGCCCGCAGGGGTGAGACACTTGGAAGGCCTCCAAGACCAGCAGAACCTTGTTGATACGGCTGATGGTAGGGTAGGGAGTGAAATCCACCTTGTACCTTTCAGCATTTGCCATCTGAGGCACTAAGCAGAGGTCTGCCATGGACACCTCATCTCCCACGCAGTATTTCCCTGCTGTGCTCTGCAGGATCTGTTCCAAGGCGCTAAAGCCAGAATTGATGGCTTTCTGGGCCCATGCCAGCTGGTTCTCCTGTCCTACTACTTGCTTCAGGATAGACAGGTTCTGCAGGGGCTGGATGCCGCCAGCGATGAGGTCGGAAATCATGCGCACAAGGACCCTCTTCTTTGGGTCCTGAGGCAGGAGCTGGAGAGTGGGCCGAGTCTCCTCCAGGTACTTGATGATGGCCAGCGACTGGCCAATAGTGGTGCCATCAGTCTTTAGGGCTGGCACCTGCTCCATGGGGTTAAGTGCCTGGAATTCTTTGGAGAACTGCTGGCCCCCAGCTTTTATGAGGTTGACGGGTACTGTTTCATAGTCGATGCTCTTCAAGGCCAGAGTGATTCGAACTCTCCAGGAGCACGAGCTTCGGAAATAGGAATAGGGGATGCGCTTAGGCTTTTACAGCTCCTCTGATTTTCCTTCTGGTTTTATCTTTCCTTCTTGTTGTAAAATTTCCAGTCAGTTGACTTTCCTGTAGTTCTGGGTAATGTCCATTTTGTATTTTGGTTGTATTTTATTGAAATTGTTGTGTAAGGCTGCAGTTAGTTGTTACCTATGCTGCCATCTTGGATTCTCTCCTATTTTCTCAGTTCTTACAGCATTCCTATAAGATAGGACTCAGTGGTCAGCAAACTCATTAATCAACAGAGTCAAATATCAACAGTACAATGATTGAAATTTCTTTTGATAGCAGAAAACCGACTTCTGTGCATGGGCCATGAAGTTCCAATCACACAGATATTTTGTGGAAGAGCCACACTCAAGGGGCCAAAGAGCCGCAGTTTGCCGACCACTGAGATAGGTGAACTATTGTTCTTGTGTCCCTTTCACAAGTAAATAAATTGAGTCACAAGTGGTGGAACTAAGGCTAAACCTCCTCATGTATCGTCTTAACCTGTCCCGTTGCCCATTCACCTCATTAACTCAGCAGAGTATCAAGTCTTCCCAAGCTTATTCCTGAATGCTCAATAGTTGCTTTGAATATAAATGACATAAACAATATATGAGAAAGTAATTAAACAAAGTCATAGTATGTGAGAAAAAGGAAGGGAAATCATGAAAGGGGTTCTACAATGGAAAGGCTACACATCATACTGTGTAGGACTACAAGAAGAATGTTCCAGCCAGACTTCCTGGGAAGATGGGAAACTAGGATTTGCTTCCAGCCACAAGCTTTCTTCTGTTCCAATTACTCCCTTCCAATTTTGTTTGCTGTATATTTGTCACATTACAGTATTTCCATGGTGATACGCTAGGATATTGCAAACACTAATCAAATCAGTCTGTAGAAAGAAGGGAACAAAGGACTTCCTGGTTACACAGAAATTACCTGTTAATCACCAGTTCTGAGGTAGTTTAAAGGAAAATGAAAGGAAACCATAAAACAGAAGGAACTTATTATTATTATTCAACTTATCAAAAGGTTTTAGATGCAGTAAACATGTCAGCTCTTACACTCAGTAAATTTAACGATTCTGGCACACTAAACATAATCTTTTTAATACACTGGCAAAATTCAAGAGATCATAAGTTCAGTGTTATTTTTAAGTGGCCAAGAAGTAGGAAATATTTTAAACATGTTAAAACCATATAAGAAAAAATGTAAATCATCAACAACAACCACAAAACACCCCAAAGTCTCTGTCTTTTCTCAGGAGCCAACACACAGCCCTGCTTCCTTCAATGGAGAAAGCATAGTTCAGGCAGTGGTTTATCTGTTCACAAGGCAGGTAACTGCCTGTTTGGGTCTTTCAGAAGAATAATGGAGTTTTTTGCTACCCTGAACAGATGATCTGGTATTAAAAAAAATCAAATGTAATTTATCTGTATGTCAGGTAAATTATTTCTTTTTTCTTTTTTCTTCTTTGAAGAATGGAATGGTGTTCTGGATCAAGCAAACCTGCTGCTATGGAAGGAGTAGGGTTGTCCAACCACATGTATCACTGAATTTCCAAAACAATAAAAAGAACCTCAAAGTTCATTAATGCATCTGTTCATTAACTTATTCACTCAGTTGACACATCTTTACTCAGTGCCTATTATATGTCAGGCCCTGGGGTAGCTGTTGAGATCTCAAATATTAGCAAAGCCAACAAGGAGAGATCATAATGAAAGTTCTATGTTTAGTCTTTCAAAGATAGTTCACTGCAAATGTGCCTGCACTCCACAAGCACAAGCACAAGCACATTTCCACACCAACACACTGACATACTTAATCACCCCTGAGGCATGAACTAGACCATGAACCCATTTAGGTAGCAATATGTTCTCCACAATGACATTTACTTAAATTTTAGATATGAACTTAAGATTCCATAGATAAGAAGATAGAAAAAAAGGACAAATGTTGGAATGCCAGCCATTTATGTTGTCAAGAAAAGATATTAAATACTTCCCAAACAAAACCATAATTTACTATCACTTTCAATTCTTTAACAAAAGGATATGAAAACATCCTCTTTTCCTCAAAAAGGGAGAACTGGTTCTCAGAATAAAGCTAGCCATGTAAACAAACTCTTTTTGGCTGGATAAAAGACTCACCATCTTCTTTTCTTTCTTCTTGGTTCCTTTGCTGAACACTTGTGTCATTTCTCCTTGTACACACTCCTCAGGCACTGGCATCAGTCTATAAACCACATTTTTGAAACAATAGCAGGAAACACTACAGCTGCAGCTCTGTGATCTACCAAGGGGCTCATATCTCAATCTAGTCTCAGGCACTAATTAATGTCAGATGTTGGTCAAGTGGGTTTCTGTTGTTCAGCTGTTAAAAGGGAATTCTAATGGAATTTGTAAGGATTAAATGATATAACCCATGAAAAATTTTTGCAGTATCTTATAAGTTCCACCAAGCTGAAAGCCATTGTGGCAACATATCTAAAGTAACTCTAGATGATCCAAATGCCCATTCTATGCCCTTCCTATAAAAAACTGTGATGGAGTCAGAGTTTATACTTTCAGGCTGGCAAATTAATATGTTGCATTTTTATGGATGCCAGCAGAAAACACCACTCTTGGTTCAGACACAAAGACAGTTCATTACTCAGCCAGAGGAGTAGCCAGAGTATCAGCATTTATGCCCATTCCTGAGGCTCAGTTTCCACAGCATGATGTTAGGAAAGTCAGGAGACTCTTGAAAAGTGCAGTGGGCTACATTGAAAAGTCTCTCTGAATTTTGCCCTGGAGATAAAATTATATTTACAAAAGGCCTGGTGCATGAAATTCATGCATGGGGGGTGGGGAGTTCCTCAGCCTGGCCTGCACCCTCTCCAATCAAGGATCCCTCGAGGGATGTCTGACTGATGGTTTAAATATATTTTTTATTGATTTATACAGAGAGGAAGGGAGAGAGATAGAGTTAGAAACATCGATGAAAGAGAGTCATCGATCAGCTGCCTCTTGCACACCCCCTACTGGGGATATGCCCGCAACCAAGCTATATGCCCTTGACTGGAATCGAACCCGGGACCCTTCAGTCCCCAAGCCGACGCTCTATCCATTGAGCCAAACCGGTCCCAGCTTGACTGCTGGTTTAGGCCCTATTCCAGAATGATGTCTGGAAGGTAATTCTGCTGTCTGGTCTAATTAGCATATTATACTTTTATTATTATAGATAGGAAATAAGTATAGAAGTACACAAATCATATGAGTACCTGTATAACCTCTACTCATGTCTAGAGACAGAACAATATGAATACTGTTATAATCCAGTAGCTTTAGTCCTAGATATGTAACATAGAGTACATAAACTAGGACACATGTACAAGAATGTCTATTGCAGCACTATTCAATCTTGTAGAAGTGAAATAACCATCTGAAGAACAGGTATAATATTACCCTTATTATACACTCACTAGAGGCCCGATGCACAAAATTTGTGCAAGGGGCTTGGCCCTCACAGCCGTGGCAGAGGCTTGCCTCGGGCCTTGTAGCTCCGGCTTTGACCTTCAGGTCATCTGGAAGGTCATTTTGTTGTCTGGTCTAATTAGCATATTATGCTTCTATTATTGTAGATAATACTCCCCAACAAAACTTACTTCTCCTATAACCACTGTCCTAGCATATTTGATAATAATGCTGTTACTATTCTCTCAATTTTACCAATATACTTTAGTCTTTCCTGGTCTTTGAATTTTATTAAAATAGAGTCATAATTTGTATTCTTTTGTGTCAGCTTCTTTCACTCAGCATAAGTCTGAGATTTGTCTATATTCTTGGGTATACCTGAAGTTTATTGCTGTAGTTTATTCCTTTTCATTCTGTTTAGTATTTTATTGTATGTGTCTTCTAAAATTTATTTACCTTTTCTTTTGTAGATGATTGCTTCCATTTCTGTGATGCTAAGGAAAATCACTGTAAACATTCTTATAAATGTGCCCTATTGTATGTATTCCAGATTATATACCGTATTTTCCAGCGCATAAGACGACCCCCTAATTTTACAGTTAAAACATAGGTTTAGGCCTATATTCGCTGAATAAGACTACTCCCCACTTCCGAGGCAACACCAGTTCTTTTTTTAATTAAATTTTTAATGAATGACCCCCGATTTTCGGTTGACTTTTTTTCGTATCAAAAGTCGTCTTATACGCCAGAAATACGGTACCAGAAGCAGGATTGATGTTTTACAGGCTCTATGTATCTTTAATGATAATAGATCATTGCCAACTGTTTTCCAAATCTTCACTCTTACCAGCAGAGTACTAGGGTTTCTGTTTTACCACATTTTATTTGATTAAAAATTAAACACTAGCCGAAACAGGTTTGGCTCTGTGGTAGAGCGTTGGTCTGCGGACTGAAAGGTCCCAGGTTCGATTCCAGTCAGGAGCATGTACGTTGGTTGGGGGCACATCCCCGGTAGGGGGTGTGCAAGAGGCAGCTGGTCGATGTTTCTTTCTCATCGACATTTCTAGCTCTCTATCTCTCTCCCTTCCTCTTTGTGAAAAATCAATAAAATATATTTTTAAGAAAATTAAACACTTTAGTAATATATGTCAGACAACATTCTCAGCACATTAATTTAAGTTTTATAATATTATAAAGATGAGATAATAGTGTTCTTCCCACTTCCAGATAATGACATCGAGGCACAGAGGTGAAGTGACTGATTTCAATTCACACATTTGAAAGTTGTAGAGAATTCAGTTAAAGAGATTAGGCACTATTCTGATATGTACCTCTCTCTTCTATGCTCACATTTATTTTCCTACTTCAAAATTTTTGACAACCCTGTACATCTGTAATGGCAACTTTATTTGTGATTTTAATTTGCATTTCCTCAATATAAGTGGATTGAGCAGCTTTTTAGATCTTTGTTAAGTATTTGGTTATTTTCTTTAGAGATTTCAGGGGCAAGTATCTCTGACCTAAATTTCTATTGGATACTTTGCTTTATCTTATTGATTTGTAGGCATTCTTTCATAATCCGAGTCCTGAATATTCTGTGTATCTATATATAATTTTTCCTACTCAGAGATTTTCATAATTGATCTCTCTTAATGAACAAAGTTATCAATTTTAATGTAGTTGAATATATAAATTATTTTCTTTACAGTGATACCTTTTTTGTTCTACATTATAAATTATACCCACCAATAGATACAGATATAGATTATATTATTGACCATATTATCCTCTATACATTATATTTTTTATGAGATCGCTAATACATCATGAATTCCTATTGTATATGTTATGATAACTTTATGTGTCAACTTGTCTAGGCTATTGTGCACTTGTCTAGATGTTGTGAATGTGTTTTATAGATGTGATTAACATTTAAGGTCAGATGCTATAAGTAAGGAATATTACCTTTAATAATGTAGATTAGTCTCATTCAATCATTTGAAGGACCTAACAACAAAAACAACAACAAAACTGAGATTACCCAGAGAAGAAGGAATTCTGCCTCAAGTTTGTAACGTAAAAATCCTGCCTGAGTTTCAACCTCCCACATGTGCTATGGATTTCAGACTCAAGACAGCAGCTCTCACCTGTATGTCCAGATTTCTGGCCTGACATACAGATTTCAGATTTGCCAGGCCCTACAATCACATGAGTCTGTTGTTTAAAAGTCTCTTTATGTACAATATATTCTATTGGTTTCTTTGCCTGGAAAACCCTGATTGATACAGATTTTGGTATCCAGAAAGTTCTAGAGGTGAGTTTTCTGAGTTGGTTCTGCAGTTTCTGGGCTCCATTCTCTACTACAATTAGATTCAAAGACTCTAATGACTCATTGTCATTAGTAAAGAGAACACTGATACTCCATGGCATGATATGGCAATGGAGATATCATCATTTGGTTGCTACTAAGTGTACTTAACTAAGTAGGGAAAGAAAAGGATGAGCTCAAATGCTCATTAATTGTAAGCTCAAGTGCTGTGTAAATGAGCTAAAGTTTCAAAGACTGTTCTGAAAGAAAGCATCATCTGTATTTGCAGAGCCAATACTTCTAAATATTAAACCCAGACTGGTCTTGTAATTGGCTGAATTACAGCACAGCATAACTGAGGTTGAATTTCCATGCTCACAAGATATCTATTATTAAAGTGAGGGTTTTGTTTATGAAGGAATGAGTTCCCACAAATTGCAGTGGAAACATATTGGCAGTTCTTAAATTCTGATGCATCCTCTTTGCCAATGGAAGCAGCCACTCTCTCCCCTTCTGAGGTTGATTGTGTTTTGCCTGAGGAACCTGTAAAAGCCTCTCCTCAAAAAGTTGACTTGAAAGACACTGTTGAACCTATTCAGGATGCCTCCATCTATCTTTGCTTCTTCACCTATAAGTAAATGCAAGACCCAGCAGATTTCTGCCCTCTTGATCCACAAGTTCATAAAAATCATAGCTCAGCCCAGCTCAGTGGTTGAGCATTGACCTATGAAACAGGAGGTCATGGTTCACTTCCTGGTCAGGGCACATGCATGAGTTGTGGACCCTGTCCCTGGTACGGGTCATGCAGGAGGCAGCAATCAATGATTCTCTCTCATCATTGATGTTTCTACTTCTCTCTTCCTCTCTAAAGTCAATAAAAGTATCATAGCTCAGTATTATAGTTCATTTCATCCTGGATGGATAAAAGGCTCTGGGCCAAAGCAGGCTTTGAGTGCTCTGGTTTAACTAGTTATCTGTGTTCTTGTTTTCTCAAAAGTTTTGAGTTGATAATTCTTTATTATATTGTAAATTCTTCAATAGTGAGAAACTATTTTATTCAGTTTCTCCCCCCCCCTTATATTTAGGGTGGTATGAGTGTATGTTTGTGTGTGTGTGTGTGTGTGTGTGTGTGTGTGTGTAAGAGGCCTAGCTGCCATGACTAAATAGTGGAAGCATGTTAAACTTAGATTTAGGGAAAGATGAAATCTTTCTTTTAGCCATGAGAGTTGGCAACCATATATTCCTAATCTTTCATTCTATATTGTAAAATGATGGTCCACTTCTGGTTCTTTTTCCCTAAAATGACTCTTTTTAAGGGGTAGGGTACATTTTTAATGATAATCATAGTGAAAAAGAAGTGTCTGAAAAATTCAAAGTGAGACTAGAAATAAAATAGTCAATCATTTAAAAATATTCTAGTATAGAATTGAATTAATAAATAAGGGTGAAAATGCGTCATTAGCTCTTT